ACCAGTGCTGACATCAGCATAAATGACCTATATAAACTGCTGATGTCATCTTGCTGACGTCAGCCCAATGATCTATAAAATATTGCTGATATTGTCATGCTGACATCAGCAAGATGATCTATTAAAACTAAAGCTATCATAGTATTCATGTGTGGAAAATTGAGTTTAATAATAAATTTTTAAACTGCATCAATCTGTTGTTGCTTATTGTTACCACAGTGAAGGCAGGGAATTTTTTATTTTAATCATTTCTGTCTGTGTGCATGTTCGCCTACAGGGCCTGAGTCATAAACATTACATTTTTACATTCAGCAGGCTGACATCAGTGTTGTATTAAACCAGGCTGAGGTCAGTATGTTGTAATAAAAGCATCAAAGTTTTAGTTCAGCACTTGTCGTTCAGAGGAAGTTGTGCTCCGTCAGGGCTCTTATTTATTTCTTTATCTCCATCTGGTAAAATGTTATGTATTAGTCTTATAACAAGGACGTGACTTGTAACAAAAACAGACAGAGTGACTTTTGTTTTGTTTTTCCCATTAAATTAATTCAGGAACTACAATGATCCCATATAATCTGAAGTCTGTCAATATATTGTTTACTCCTGTCAATGTAAAAACTTTAACCAATTAAGTTCAGTTCTAAACCCATGGCGTTTACATTACAGTTTTTCTGAATTGCTAAAACACTAAACCCCAATGTAAAAACGAAACTGTCAACTATGAAAACTCTTTCATCAAATCAATCCCACAGTTGCCAAAATCTTAAACACTATTCATCTGGTTAGGACACCATTTGCCAATCTGAATCTCCCATTTACCAGAACTTTAAACATATTCTCAAACACTTGTACCCAGAATTGTGCACACAGGCTACAGAAGTTAAACACAACTAACACACTGTTTTCATCATTAACACACTACCACTCAAAATTGTAATGTTACAACCTCTTCTTCTGGTTTTTGCTAGATTGAATACAGCTTCATCCACGAAGATGTATTCATAAGGCCTAACCATTGAGTCAAGCTCAAAGATTCTCTACACAACAAACTAATTTTAGTTCTGTAAATGAAATAGTATAATCTATACATGCACTATGTATACAAGTATACTTATAACTAAATGGTATTTTGTTTAGAATTTAAAGACGGCCACATGAGGGTGGAAGAACACGCATGCACTCACAACACCAGGAGACACTTATTGTGGATATACAGACCATTTACCATTTTATTTACCATGGTCCGTCAGAAAAATGCAATTTGACTGCATGAAATGCAGCAAGGGAATATAGAAGACAACATACATTTTGAATCTAACAAAAAGGAGAAGAAAAGCTTGCAATGTCATAGGTCAGCGTGCCATTATTGAACTGCCTGGCCAGCGTGGTGGAAATGTAACTATCTCTTCTCTGCTGCCATCAGCAGCTATGGGGTTCCCCACAGTCATGTTACTGTTGGGCCGTACAACAACAAACTTATAGCAATATTCCTGGATGGTCTACGGGATGCTTTGCTTGAGTAGAGAGATCGCGAGCAGGCAGAGCATCCCATATCATTTGGGCCAATGTGAGCTTTCACCGTGGTCCAAGAATACACAATTGGTTTCACAATGAGAAGCATTTTATGAATTTGTTTCTTCCACCATACTCTCCCTTTTTGAACCCTATTGGGGAGTTTTTCTCAGCATGGAGATGTAAAGTATATAACCGAAACCTTTAAACACAGGAAAATCTACTTCAAGCATTGAATGGAGCATGTGGTGAGATAGGAGTGGAATCTTGCCAGAGCTGGATTCCGCATCCTAAACGATTCTTTCCTCGTTGCATTGCAAGGGAGACCATAGCATGTAATGTGGATGAAGTCCTGTGGCCTGACCCAGCACAGAGGCGTGATGTTGAGGTAGGAT